TTTTCTGCAAAAGAAGCAGAATGGAAACAGTGTGTATGTGGGTAGGTCTGGTGTTGTCTGTATCCTTTTCTGTTAATGTGGTGATAACTAGTCTCTATTCAGGGGTACAGCTATGGGGAGGAGAGTTAAATGAAGGCATTGTCCCCACCAAAGAAGAATTAATTTTTAAAATATTTTTATTAATTATTCTTACCAAATAGTATTCTGATACCCAATGAAACTGGCCTTCAGTCTCCAGATTTCTAGCATGACAGTAACTTAAAATTCAAATGTAGAGAGATCTTGTAGCACCTTTGAGACTAACTGAAAGAAAGAAATTGGCACCATAAGCTTTTGTAGACTTTAGTCTACTTCCTCAGATGCATTACGAGTTAAGTACAATAACTTCCAGCATCTATGAAATGGAGATATTGGACTAACCAAAATGCACAAAATACTTGTTGCAAGTAGCCATACTCTGGTCCGCTCAAGACTTCCTAGAGAGGGAAGCAATGCAGACCCTTCTTTACCTTGTCGCTGTTTGGCCCGAAATTTTTATGTCTGGCTTCTCTGTCCTTCCAGGTGAAGAAAATTGCCTCTGAATATTATGACAACCTTCCCTACCACAACTCTTGGATCCGTGTCCTTTGGGACTTTGTCTTCAAAGAGGCGCTGGGTCCTTTTGCCCGCGTGAAGAGAAAATATAAGGTGGACAAAGTCTTATGAAGCAAGAACACAATGGTGGTCCCTCTCCCCGGAAATGCTCCAGTTCATGGTCCCTCCAGTGATGGGGAAAGAGGCCGAGAAGACAGCTCCCCATGTTTCTGAAAGCCAAATCTAATTAACATTTAAAATATATGTATATAGAGCTAAAGAAAGGACGAGTCTGTGGGACTTGGAGACACAGAAGGATGACTGATGTTAATGTGTTTCTTTTAGATATTTTGCTCAGCCCTGAGGTCAAGACTGTCTTACAGAATGGTGACTCCTGTGGCTCTGGGTTTAGTAGCCAACCTAAAGGAGTAACCAATGTGGCCAACAAAATGGTGGCATGGGCTTAAGAGTTCTCATTGACAATAGCTAAATGCTATCATTATATTTTTGAAAGAAGAGGCTTACTTGTGTTTATTCCCTAGGTACATAAGATATGGATCCCGGTGTGCGTGTGTGTGTATAAGGCACTTGACAAACTGTGTGTGTGGGTTTGCAGGAAAGCAGGAAGGGCTAACATTTCCTCTGGCATCTACTTCAGCCAGAAATATTATTTTTGTCTTTGGTCCTTTTGGCATCACACAGTTATAGCATTGTGGTTTGGAGAATTTGTATATGTTTGTTGTTTGTGGTTAATTGCCTTTGTGTCGATCTCAACCCCTGGTGACCCTATGGATGAGACATCTCCAGTCCCCCCATCCTTTACTGTCCTGTAAACTCATATTCGTGGTCTCTTTAATAAAGCCCATCCATCTGGCATGTGGCCTTCCTCTCTTCCTCCCTCCCTCCACTTTCTCCAGCATTATGGTCTTTTCCAATAATTCATGCCTTCTCATGATGTGTCCAAAATACGACAGCCTCAGTTTGATCATCTTGGCTTCTTCCAGGGAGGTTTCCGGCTTGGTCTGCTCTAGGATCCCCTTGGTTTGTCCTTTTGGCTGTCCTCCATGGGATCCTCTGCATCTTCTCCAGAAACACATTCTCTCTAATGCATGGATTTTCTTCCTGTCCTCTTTCTTAACTGTCCAGCTCTCACATCCATCCATGGGAATAATAGGGAATACGATGGCTTGTATGATTCTGACTTTTGTGCTGAGTTGTATATCCTTGCATTTTAGGGTCTTTTATTATTTTTTCATAGCCACCCTCCCCATTCTTAGTCTTCTTCTGATTTCAGTCCCCATTTCTATCAATGTTTGATCCCAGGTATGGGAACACTTTTACTATTTCTATTTCCTCATTGTCTAGTTTGAATGTGTGTAAGTTCTCTGTAGTCATTATTTTTGTTTTCTTTATGTTCAACAGTAATCCTGCCTTTGCACTTTCTTCCTTAGTAGTTCTTCCAGGTCTGTGAGGTTTTCTGCTAGTATTATGGTATATAGTATTGTATATGTACCACCCCGTATTTTCCAGCGTATAAGACGACTGGGCGTATAAGACGACCCCCCACTTTTCCAGTTAAAATATAGAGTTTGGGAAGAGTATGACTTCCAAAACTGTTGTTGTTGTTGCTGTGCACCTTCAAGTCATTTCCAACTGATGATGACACTAAAGCAAACCTACCATGAACCTCCTTATACCCGGCGCATAAGACGACCCCCCCCACTTTAACCCCAGATTTTGCAGGTTTAAAAGTAGTCTTATACGCCAGAAAATAAGGTAGTCTTAAAAAAAAACGTGCTGACCATTTAGTCAGAACTCTGTCGACTGGTTAATTGAGGGAGAGAGTGTCAAATGTTTTTAATGAGTATATCTGCAAACAAATGGATGGATGAAAATGTATCGGTCCTCTTTGCAAGGAATGCACAGGATAAATAATTGAAGAGCATGATCAGTGACTTTGTAGCACTCTTTCTCCCTCTGGTGACCATTCCTTTGCTATGCACATTCTCTAGCATATCTCTTTGCACTACTACAACTCCCATTATCCCACATTAATACCTATGTTGGTTAGGGCTGCTAGGAGGTAGAGAGATTCCACTGACATGGGACCTTATCACACGGGGTCTAAAGCAGACCTAATCCAAAGGGTATCCGAAGCTAATACATATTATTTCCCCGTGTTTACACACGACGTTGCACTGAAACTGGACAGAATCCGGAGCTAATCCGTATTATTTCCCCGTGTTTACACACGACGTTGCAC